GGCCCGTGTTGTTGTCTGTTTTTTTTTTTGTTTCCTTGCCCTGGCTAGGAAGAAGCCGAACGGCTTCGAAAGCTGAAGGAAGCCGAGGCCTGTACGTACACGTGTTGCCGTTTCGTTCTTGTTGCTAGCTTTCCTCCTTGGATGTCCCGCAAACAGTTCTGACACGTGCTGAACTCGATAGGCAGCAGCGAAACCTGCAGAACAGGAAGACTCCGAGGCAGGATTGTGGAGCCCAATATATAGAAGCTGCATGTCACGTCTGGAGTCCAAATCAAAAGGTTTCGCTCATGATGAAGAAGCTGGAGGAATTGCGACGGCAACGGCAGGCCCCCGTCCATTCAATGTTTTCATGGAGTCTTCCAGCAGACGTTGTGAACAACGCATGGGCAGGAGTTGGAAAGGCTTGCCATGTCGCCGAGCCCAACTGAAGACAAGGGCAGTGACTTCAAGGAGGCCGGTGTATGAGCATTGAGAAGATTTTGTCCTTGCCATTCCTTCTTGCATGCATTTTTGGCGGGCTGAGGCTGCCCTCAGCCCGGCCAACCTCATGGGCCAGCGTAGTGGCAAGGAGGAGGCAGATGCAAATGCCAAGGACGGCCCATGCAAGCATTCTTCGGAGCGGGCTGTACGTGGGTTGCATCGCAGCTTGCTGGCAAGGATCCGATGCCGCAAGAGGACCAGGACTTGATTCTGCTGGGATGGGGAAAAACAACCCAGGTCAAGGTTGAGGAGCAGCAACCGGCCACGCCGGCCGCAAAGAAGGATGCTCCAAAGGCTCCGGCTACTGAGGAGTACAACCATCGAAAGGCCAGCATGGCTTTGCTTCGCTTGCGGCGGAATCCGAACCGCTTGAAAGAGCTGCCTGAAAGCCTCCGCGACCTCGTTGAGAATGATGATGCGGGAGCTCGCAAGCTCCTGCAGCAACACGGAGGAAACCTGGACAGTATGGTTCAGGAAGCCAAGCACAGCATCGTGAAGGAGACTCAAGAGGTTGACAAGGAGACGACAGATCAGTTGACGGAGTTTCAGGACGGGCCCTAACGTCTCCTTTCCTCGTTTCAGCTTGCCGTGGATCCCTTTAAAGATGCCCTGGAATCCAGGGCCAAGCACATTAAGCCCTGGAATCCAGGGCCAAGCACATTAAGCAAAACAAATATCATGCTTACATAAAACCTGATATTTACCATTCTTCGGTTGAGCCTGGCCCCTCCGCCAGTAGTCTTCGAACGATACTATCCATGTTTTTAGCTGCTGTGGGTTGCAGATTTTTTTTCGGTGTGCTTGCTTGATTGCTGAACTCGCTTGCACAGTGTACTTTGGTTTTTTTTGCACATTCCGCACACGAGCCCTGAAAGGTGCTGCAGATGTACGGCCCCGTCAAGGGAGCCGAAGTGATCCGGGAGAAGACCGAACGAGGGGAAACGGTTGAGGACAAGAACCTGAAGGGGAACACCTTGTTCCTCATCGCGAACGACAAGCTGGAGATCAACAACAAGACGGCCAAGCGGCACGAGTGGAGCAGCGCCACGGGCAATCAGACGGACAAGAACACGGCTTCCTCCTCGACAAAGTCCGCGGCTGCTCCTTCCCCGACAACTCCGGCCCCGGCCGAAGCTGCCGCCGTCGAGGTCGAGCCCAAGCCCAAGCCGAAGAACAAAGCGAAGCAACCCAAGGCCATGGCATGCACAACGCCTCTGGAAAGGGCAGAGAGCTTAAGCAACGAGGCGCTGAAGGCGAAGGGGGAGGCGAGCAAGCTGTCGACGCAGCTGAAAAGCCTGAACTACGCGAAGGACCTCGTCAAGGAGCTGGACACCTTCATCGTGGGCTTCGACGAGCTGTACGTGGCGATCGCAAAGCTCATCCAAGCAAAGGTGAATGAGGAGGCACCCTACCTTCCACACGTGAAGAAGTTCGTGGAGACGCAGAAGTCCTTCCAGCTCGCGAAGACCAGCGCTACCGCCATGGCGAGAGGGGTCAAAACGAAGGCGTCCGCCAAAAAGGGTGCCAAGAAGACGACTGCTGGTGAGCAGGCTGCCTGAACATCCCGCATGGCAGTTCGGGCTGGATGCACTGTAGGATTTTTGAGCCTCGGGCATGGGAGTTCGGGCTGGATGCGCTGTAAGATGTTTGAGCCTCGGTTGCCTTTCGAAGGCTTAAGGCGACTTTTTGAACAGGGGCCCGAATTCCTGTCCAGCGGCCGGAAACCATTGGAATGCCAATGTTTCCACGGGATGCATCGTCAGGACAGCTGCAGAAGATGGAGGCAGCTCACAAAAAGGGACCGGTTGTTCTGCAACGAGGGCAAGGACGGACTACGAGTATTGCCACTACTGCTGTGTTATGTACTATTACTATACTACAAACCTTAATTGCTACTACTACTGACTAGTGCTGCTGTTACTACTCACTACTAGTCCTACTAACCGGGTTCGGGTTGAGGGTTTTGGGTTTAGGCTATGGTAGGAGATTTGGAGTTGAGGTTTGCTGCTAAGTGTTTCGGAGCTCTCTTATATAACCCGGGTAACGAAGTTAGACCCAGATGTTTCCTGGCAACCAGGAATT